CTCTTGTTGAAATTGTGTTCCGAATTTGGATCGGACGATTTCGAGCGGGACTGGGCGAAATTTTTAGAGACTCACCTGCTCTCGGAGACAGCTCCTGGGATGACCGAAGTGCACGAGATAACTGAGCCTCTGATAATGTCTGCCGACTTCAAATTGCCGTTTGTTTTGATAAAGACGTCTTTATCAGTAGAACTAAAGGTAGGAATTTTAATACTAGCTCTCAGATTGGAGAGAACGAGGGAGAAAAGGAAAAGATAAAAGTTGGGATTATTTGGAAAAATCGTAGTCTAGGTGAAACGCGCGGGACTTAGGCGGTGTCCGTTGATTTTTCCCAGAGGGGAACGCCTTGGGGGGAAATCGATGGGTTTTCAGTCTGGATTATCGGATGTAAACAGAAAAACTCTTTCCTTATCTTTACTGTGATTTTAAAATTTTCCATTATAAGGAATTGTGCTAACAACCCATTAGGCCAATATTAGAACATATTATGATCATTTTTTAAAAAGAAAAAGTTATGTATAATTTAAAAATGTTATAATATGCAGGGTGTACCGTGAATAGACGTCAATATTTCAAAAGGTCTTCGTGTCAAATTGACACTAAAAAATCCCAATTGGCCAAAGTCTTCCAATTGTGATCAAGCTATTTCACTTTTCACGTTACTTCAAATTTTACAATTTTAGTCCATAGAGTCCCCCAAATCTCATAAAATCTTAATCTTACTGTAAGTTTAATGGCACTAGTGGATATTAATTTTTATTGTCACCTTAAGCATACAAAGTACAAAATGACTTAGAGAATAAACTTTGGCGAATTTCTCAAATTCTCATTTGAAGTTTGAGTAAGCTTTTCTTTGTTCTGTAAATACTGACACATAAAGCGCTTCCAGAAAGGTTGTCCATTCTAAAAGGACAGTTATCACAAAGGTAAAGTTAACGTTTAATTGGTAAAAAATTGATTGAAAAAAATAAAACTATCCATGAACTAAACATAATGAAGTCTATTTCGTTCAAAACTAAGGACATCCTCATGGAAAAGAATCAAGGATCCTTCCGGTTATGGGAGGAGAGAAGCGGGATGAACCTTGAGTGTAGTAAAATCTCAGGATCTGTCAGGCTTCTTTGAGAGAATGAAGATTTTGAAAATTGATTTTAATTGTTAGAAGCTTTCGTTTTTTGTCTTACGTTCAATTTTGTAACAAAGATTTTTTTTAAAATTACTTTCATTATTTTCAATAGAAGTTTGAAAATCTTTATCATTAATTTTTACTTGTACAGTTTGTAAACGAAAAATCAAATTTTTAGCTAATGAAAGTCAATTTTACATTGGTAATAAATGACCTGCGGGAAATTAAGTACATGTGTTTTCAGCCCAATATTATTGGCAACTTTTTTGTAAGCACAGTATCTACAGAACCAGGAAAATCTTACTTCAGCTTAAGACAAGTATTTTAGAAATTCGTCAAATTATCTTCTTAGTGATTTCCCATTTTCTTTCCTTTAGTTTATAATGAAGTGAAATTTCTGGAATAAGTTGAGAATCAGATCAACAAATACTTTTTAGTTTAGTTTAGGCTTTTTAGACCAATTTGGCCTGTACGATAAGCTCGTGAAGTATTGACGTCTGTTTACGAGACACCCTGTACTACAAAGTAAAAGAAATTGCTAGGGAACTCACAGTAAGTGAGTTAAATTGTCTATAAAAACAACCTAATAGAAATAGACGTATATAGAATACCCACAACTACAGACATTATGATAACAGCGGATTCTTCCCACGCATGGTCCCAAAAGGCTGCTGATTTCATTTGGCTCATAGACCGTATGTTAAAACTTCCATTAACACCTGCTAACTATAAAAAAGAATTAGGAACTATTTAAAAAAACTTACTGTGAGTAGGAACTATCTTTTTTTAAAAAAAAAGGATTGAACACCGCATTCACTCCATCATTCACCATTTTTATTGCTAGTGTATTCGGCTCTTTCGTCCCAAACAGTCTACAATTGTTATTTTTTCAAATCTCTTGGATTTTATTTGCCTAAAAATTCATTATAATTACCCATTAAAATATTTTTTTACATTTCATTATATATTCCTCAATTCATTATCTTTAAATGCTAATTTTGCAGAATATTGAAATTATCACTTGGATTGAATGCATGACAAAAGAGAATTGGGAAGCTCCAAAATCGTGAAGAATATACTGAGACACTTATGGTTCTTGCTACTATTGTTTTATTGTTTTCCAGTTTAATCAATCTGGCCCTTTATCTTTTTTAGAAGAAGGCTTACCCTCAGTAGAGGTGATTGAAGTCTTCCGCGGCACGGCAAATCTATTTTTTATTTCTTGTAAATCGAAAAACGCGTAGTGGCATTCTGAGATGAATTTTCATCAATGTCCACTTTTTCTAGAATTAATGGAAGCGGGGAAGCAGCACCTGAGTCAAAAATTGCTTCAGTGCTTGGTCCGCGTGGTATAGAAAGTTCTAATGATTTGATTTCTTTTATCTCTTCTCAGAATATATTTATAAAATTGGTTTTGCATACCTTGCCGCAGGAAGATATAGCAAGATTTATGCCTTTTGCAGTATAAAAGTTATGTTGAAACGCACCGTTTTATGTAAAACTGGATTCCGGTTTCAAGCAAATAAATACAGAAATTGTAGAAAGTATGTTCTGTGTAGCTTTAGAAAGTGAGAGATACGCAAAATGCGTCTGACTGTCAGAGATGTTGTGGTGTTACTTGTGTTACGTTGTTTATCTCGCAAATATCGTTCTTATCGATATACACATTTTTTGGACATTACACGAAGAAAAAAAATGTTGAAAACGTATTCTGTTGATCTTTTTTATCGTACTTTTAGTTCAGAGGTCTGAAAGTCTCGGTTTCGCCATTTGCAGTAGGGCGTTGCAATATTCTTAAATTCCAAATTGTTCATTGTTCGAGTGTATAAAATTTTATTTTTATATTAAAAGACATTGAGGAATGAAAGAGAGTTTGAATCAATAATATCTTCATAGTCCTGATGATGAGACTCAATGATATTTCTTCCTAATTGTTCTCGGCCCTCATCATTTTTTTTAAATATAAAATTTCAATATTGAAGTCTGATTAGTAATTGTATCGAATGTAATTTCCTTTTACAGGCTGTCTTTTACTGAAAGAGAAAAAATCTGTTATCAGTACGGTGTTTAAAGGGCATTGTAACGGAAAATTTTCCAGACTTTCACTGTAGATTTCTTCTGAAATTTTGACCAATATAATAATTATTTCAATTTATTAAACTATAAGGTGTTAGTTAAAAAATTGTATTAATTTAAAAATTCACGCGCTACGTGGCTATGTAGTCCAACATAGAAACATGGAGGCAGTATTTTCTCTTTCTTTCTACTATGACCCCATTTTTCGCTGGCAAATTGTACAACATTTAACTGAACCACAAACCTACAATGATTGTGAAAAAAGTAAGAAAATTCCAGTTATTCGTTTAATTAAAAGGCTGAATTATCAAGTTTAGTCATTTTAACTTGATTGAAACACCAGATGCCCAGTTTACTCGGCGAAATTAATAACCAGAGCGTAAAAATTTCCGTGTTTACCCGTTTTCTATATATTTTAATGCTATAGCATATTTATTATATAATAAACAAAATATTTAACTACAGAGAAAATATTTGGAGAGAAAGTTGTTCAAACTAGCCGTCTTCCTCCGAAGTTTTTCAAACTGTGGGACGGATTTTGCCCAGTCCTCGCCTTTCATTTTTTTTTTTTTCAAAAATTACAGAATTTTCTCTCTAACGCGTGATTCAGGTCGCACCCTCGTCGGGGAAAAGGAAAAGTCTGTCCTATCAATTCTTATCGTCGGGGAACGGATATCCGCCGGTTCTGGGAGAAGAGGAAGTTGATGCTCTCAAAGTCTCTCCTCGGCGATTGTTCATTTTTACAATACATCCTTAAAATGTTATAAATAAAGAATATATTCTCCTTTGGAAGGAATATCTGTAACGAATAACTGTAAGATGACGGTGATTTTTAGAGTCCAAATTTGCAAGGAATTTGTAGAAATTTTGTTTCTTTTTGCTGGGGGTAATAAATAAATAGCTTGTTTCCATCGTTAAATCGGGAAAAAAGTTTTACTAGTAGAAAAATATATATATAAAATAAAGGGTGGGGATGAAAAGACGAATTGAGGATAATATTTGAGATGACGTGATAAGCTGTTGTGTAAGCGGCCGTGTTAAAGGTCATTGCTAGGACTGCTGCCTCATATCTCATTGCCAGTAAACATTATTAATTATTTTTCCATCGGTTTTAAATAAATATGTTTCGAGGAGAAATTTTCTGTCCGTTCTTCCCGACCGCATAGTCTGAAATGGCCTAAGATATTCCCATAATAGCCATTTAGCTATCCGCGCCTGATACTGTAAGTTATCATAATAAGATACATGTATCTCGTCCGTTTGTAAATATTTACATCGATTAAGGCTTTTTTACCCGTTCCTTGTCTTTTTGATTCGACCCCGGCCGGCAAGACAAAGCGGACACGAAGCAGCATAAATTGTACAGTTATGTGTTACTCGTTAAATACAAATTTCATGAAAAAAATGACTAGACTATTGAGCTATGATATTAAAAGCTATTTAAAATTCCTGACTATGCTGTTCTTAATATCACAGTAAAAATAAACGGCAAAAACTAGGCTGACCATTTCCAGCCATAAAACCCCAATTTTGTAAATTTTATAAAAATCTGAGTTTGTTATAGACTTGTTTTGATTTTTTTATTTATTCTTTTGTAAGTAAGGCTATTTTATTTATAGCTAAGGGGCAGTTTAAAGGGTGATGGCAGATCTACTGAGATTAAATCTTTTGTTCTCTATATTCTTTGTTTAAAGACAATTGTTGACTTGGTTTTATCTTGTTCTTTCTTTGTACATAACCCTCTACAACCGAAAAGTATCGATGAGGTTGGTATTCCTGTGAGAAGATTGAATCGTTTCGCTCCGTAAAATCGATTATGAAGAAGTGAAAAAGTTGCCCTTAATTGGATGGTTCTGTTTTTAATTGACCGAGGCTAATAACCAAGGTTAACACTAACTAGACAAAAATACAGAGAAATATCACGAGACCTTTGGCCTGTTCGTTATCGAGGGGAGATAAGATGTCGAGATGGGGGAAGAGAGAGGCTAAGCGCAAGTTGTTCAGTCAGAGCCGCGGGTCCATCTCTTCTCATTCGACTATTGCTGGCACCTGTTAATCGCGTCGACGCTACTTGCTATCGTACGATACTTGATAGCAGCCAGCTGGTTGATAGTCTATCGGTGAGATAGCACAATCAGAGAGATAGACACTGAGCCCCTACCTGCGATCTTTTTTTGTCATGTTTCCCCGTCTTTGACGAGATGTCGGAGCAGATAATGACGGAGGATTTGTCGAAAAGAGGTGATCGTGGACGAGGTTTTTTTCACGATCTCGAGTCATCTCTGGGTCTCAACCTGGTTGTCTTTCAGGGCTGCAGATGGGCGAGAACTGGAGGGGTGGCGAAGAGGAAGAGACCGTCGTGAAAGAGGAGGATGCCCAAGCCCAGGAGGACAACGCGGCGGCTGCCAGGATCGTCGGCTCTCCATCCCCTCATCAGCAGTTTATACATTATGAAGCTCAAGACCCAGCAGTCGGTAAGCAGACTTTTTTGTAGATGTAGTGATTACGGGGGTTGCAGTTCTGTCGGTGTAGTATAGATTTGTAATGATTGTAGCACATCAGTCTGTTATGAAGTGTATTCGAGTTCCTTCACAGTACTGATTTTTCCTACATGACCTTTGATTCTTCAGAGTGTTGATTTGATCTAATTCATTGTTTCCAATGACTCATTATGTAGTTTTTTCCATTGGAAATCTCGACTAACAATTTTTTACTGTTTCATGGTCTGACAAACCTTAAAGATGATGAAATGGTGAAACCCATCTGTTGAAACAAACAGAAGACGAAAATGATCAATAACGACCAAATTACAAATTCCGAAATACCTCTTCGACGGTTGTTAATTTTTACAATCATTAAACCTGACCTCGCCATAAAGAGCACGTAGCTAAAATAACAATAAAAATTGTTACATTTGAGATGTTAAATTTAGAAGAAACTAAAATTTGGTCGTGCCGATCATTTTGGACTGTCTATCTTTGCTGCGTTGACCCTAAAGATGGTAAAACCCGTCTGACAGAGCAAAATAGCGAAGATAGGCAGGTCATATCCCCGCAGAGGAAATATTACAATTGGTCAATATTATGTTATGAAACTGTAATTTGGTCTTTGCCGATCATTTCGGTATGGATATCCTTGATCTAAAGATAGCGAACCCCTTCTGTCAGGCCAGAACAGCGAGGATAGGAAGGTCATCTCACCGCAGACCTCGAAAGGATAGATCACAAATCGGCTAATATTGTCTAGTAACATTATGAAACTGTAATTTGGTCTTTTCCATTTTGATCAGCCTTTCGTCGTTTTGGCCTGTTTCGTCTGGTTTCGCATTCGTCAGATGTCTGTCAGGCAAACTTAGCGGGAATAAACGGATCAAAATGATCGGAACGGACAAATTTCAAAATTCACCATAAATAGCATGCGGCTAAAATAAAAATTAAGAAATTTTTCCTTGTTGCCAGAGGCATGGTGAAACTGAAATTTGATCGTTGCCGATCATATTGGTCGTCCTATCTTCGACGTTTTGTCTCTAAAGATGGCGAACCCAGTCTGACAGACCAAAACAGCAAGGCTACACACGCCATTGCAGACCCCCCCAAAAAAGATAGTAATTTGGTCATCATTATGAAACTCTAACTTGGTCGTTTACGATCATTTTGGCTAGCCTTTCCTTGCCGATTTGGTTTGTCAAGCGGATTTCGCCATTTCGACATCTTCGGAGATATATCAGACCGATTAAACGAAAATGGGACAAACCGACCAAAATGGACGTTACCTACATTAACCATCCGCAAATTACAAATTTTAAAGTCCTCCTCGACGATTGTTCATTTTTACAGTACAATCCTTAAACGTCATAAATGAACCTTATCATGTCTCTGTATCAGATCAAATTTCTCCGTTTTTTTCTATTTGGTTATAAAACTGAAATTCGGTCGTTACAGATCATTTTGGTCTGTGTATCCTCCTAGCTATGTTGATCTGACGGACCAAAACATCGAGGTTAAGCAAGTCCTGTTACAGACCCACAGAGGAAAGACCACAATTTGATTAGTTATATTTTGAAACTGTAGTTTGGCTTTTGCGATCGGGATTTACCATCTTCAGATATCCCTCTGACCAACTCAGTGAAGACCGCGCCGAAAAAATTCACAATCTTATAAATTTGTTATTAGAAATGAATGGATTGAACAACTGAAATCTGATTCCGATCGGCCAAGCCTCTCTCCAATAGTACTATCTCGTCCAAGATAAAAAAATATCTAAAAATTGGTACATATCTATCAGACTTATCAGACAGGAATAATGTAAAAATTGTCTCGTTTTTCGAGGTTTAATGTCAGGGAATCTAAACCTAAAAGACGTATTTAACGTTTGAAGCAGTTCACTTCTAAATTAGAAGTTTTTATCGAAGATTTTGTAATAGCAGTGAGGGTATGGGCAGAATATCTTTTAACCCAGCCATTAAGGGTAGATAGCCATAAGGAGAAATGGTGATACATTACTGTATACCAATGTTCTTCCGAAGATCGGACAAAAGAAAAGGGCTATCCCTCTCACATACTCCAGGATTCAGATTCAGAAAATTAAATAATCCATGGCATGTCGGTTATTGGCCGTCGTAAATTTTGTCTTTGGTATCACAACCGGCAACTGCGACTGTAAGGTCGTACAAAAAAAAATCTCGGGGTCGGGAGGTCATCGCTACACAAATCTTTTAACGTCATCGAAGTGAAAAGCTCGCTCCATAATATTATATATTTCAATTCATCGACCGTCCCTATTTTTATGAATATTAGATACCTCCTAATAGCGTTTTTATCTCGGGGACATTTGAATAAAATATTCCATCATCATTAGGGGAAGAAGAATCAAAAGATCATCTCTGTGACGAGATCATTAACCTAAAACGTTTTTTTTAACATATTAAATATTTGTCGATATAAAATACAATTGTGTAGTTCTTTTATTCCGTTACTTTTGCGATGTTCTTCAGTAGAACGTCCTGCAAAGTTGAAGAGGAATTGGCAAAGTGCAATCTACGCACAGATTAAGTTCAAGAAGGTAAATGATTTTGATGGAAGATTTGACACCTATGTTGACTATTATTCATCTTATCTGCCCTGCATGAATGATAACCGGTCCTTTGACCGAATAAAATTTGTCCTGGGCCATCATTTTAGCCTTTGTGATAAGATGAAAATTTTAAAAATGAAAAATTTTGACCATTTCATCTTCACTTTATGCTCAATTTTGGCAGTGTTCTGCAGTTAAGCAAGAGGATTTTCAACAATAATTTGCAATATTTTTATGGAATTTGCTTTAGTGCAACGTTATTGGGGGATGAGGAGGATAGCTAGGTACTTCCTATGTACAGCCTGTTGGCTTGTACGTTTCCTTAGGCTCTATTGGACCGATCCTTCTTTTAAGTAGTAACAGTTCAATGTCAATTGCTTTAACTTTTTTCCCGGGGATATTTGGCACTCTAGGTTTCGTCTCTAATGAGCATTTGCTTGGTATTTGAAGATGATATGGGTGGGGGTTTCTTCTCCCTCATTGCGTAACCTAATGGGGTCATGGGGGTCAGGAAAATACCCATGTTGTAGGGGTTTTCTCAGATACCGGTGGAGAGCCATATAGTCCCTCTAAGTTTTACCCTGTTTAGCTGTAGGTCCGGCACCTCGAAAGTTCGTTGTTTGTATCCATTCTAAGATGAAAAAGTTTCTTTTGTTTTCTGAAGTTTCTGGGCAACTGGTTTTTATCCTCTGGTCAGTTTGTTCATTCATTACCCCAAATTCCGTTGTCCCTGATATTTTTAAGTTGTGACATTCCGTCTGCGAGGTTGTGAAATTTTGATCGTTACCGATCATTTTGGCTTGCCTTACCTTGCTGTGTTGGTCTATGAGAAGCTTTCAGTGGTTCAAGACTTCTTAAAAGACTGCCGGACAAACAATCAAAACTTTTGGTTTTGAAGATTTTGGATTCATTGACCTATTATTTTTGTTCTAACATTTTTATGTAAGGTTTGCTATTGAGGATATATTGTGCTAAACATAATTAAATATCAAATTTAGGACTAAATATAGTTCAGTTTTTTATTGTAAATAAGAAAAGCATTAAAAATTCATCCTCTGAACTTTTGGATACTTTCTCAATCGTACCTAGTCTAACCTTCGAAACATAACACTCACTAGCTTGGTTGTGATAATTATATGAATATTAGCGCGTGAATACCTAAGATGTAACATAACATACGCTTTTCAGGTTACAGCATCAGGAACCAGACCAACCTGTTCAACCTGAAAACTGGCTACGGCGAAGATCTTAACTATTACCCATCGATGCCGCTGACCGCCTCCGGAGCTCAAGTGTTCGAGGCGCAGCAGGGCGAAGTCTCCGAAGGCAGTGGGCACAGTTCACCTGCCTTGGTACGTGATCCATCCCCGCAGCACGAATTCTGCCCAAGCACGGGTGCAGAGTTACACGCCCTCCAGCCTGGTTACTCGGCCTCTAACACCAACGACTACACAACGTAAGTTTACTTCAATCATTACGAAGTTCAACTTCAATTTTCAAAGCTGCCGTAAAAGCCTAAGTTAGGCTACAGAGGCTGTGAAGAGCTAGTTCATTTCAGCCTCGAACACATGCAGTTTTTAAATCTAAACCCATTCACCTCGTCTTTTTTATTTATATACCAATCACACAATTAAGGGGGTGGAGAACTCGATATTCCTTCACATATACTCATATTATAAAACTAATCTAATTGAGTGTCAGGGTTGAAGTACTCAATATCCTACCATCATCTCTCTCGAATTTCACATTCGCGCTAATAAATTCGTTCATTTTCATTACCTCATATGTCGGATTTTACTCAGAAGTGTCCGTGTATCAGTCAACTTCTGGCCTATTCATAACCAGGAGATGCTCTTAAAAAAAAGCATTGACATTCGGTATGTAAAAAGCTAAAATCATCTCCTTGATCGTTTTCGCTCATTTTGGTCTGCCTATCCTCGCTTTTTGGACTGACAGACCTCTGGAGATGGCGAAACCCGCCTGACAGACCAAATCAGCGAGGAAAGGTCATCTCGTCGCAGACCCCCAGAAGAAAAATAACAATTTGGTCAATTTCCGTTTTCGTGGTCAATTGTCCAAGTTAGATCTTTCAACCAATTAATTAGTCTTTCTATGTAAGGTCTTGATTGAGATAAAACATTTGAAAATAGCAAAAAGAGAGAAAATTCGAACGGTTTTAGGTTGAGATGGAAAGTGGAGGAGGTGTCCGAGAGGATCGGAGTCACGATAGCTCAAGTGGTAGAGCAGTGGCGTATTTAGCCGAAGGTCGTGGGTTCGAATCCCTCTCATGACACTGACTTCTTTATCTCAACCAAGACCTTAAATAGAAGGAATAATTAATTTGGTCATTTCCGATCATTTTGGTCCGCTTATCCTCAGCTTACTTTGGTCTTTCAGACCCGGTTCGACATGTTTCAGAGCTGAGTGAATCACGGCACCAACGAAATTACGAAACTAGTGAGCTCAGGAAACCAGGATGATCGGAGAGGACCAACCTGTAGGTTCCCGACCCCGCAGAACTCAGAATTCGCGGATTGATTGTCTTAAGAGTATTTTTCGTTTTATCCTCACTCTTACCCAGTCTTCTCCCTTAAGATGGTCTGACAATGTGGGTACCTCTGTAATGTACTTCTTCGTTTCTCTCTACTCCTGCATGCCCCCCCCCCCAATTGTCTAATATTAATAAACTATCTTACCGTATTGTTGGTTACATTGCATGAAAATATGTTGGAGAAAAATGTCGATGCTTCAATTACAATTTTTTACATCTCTTGACGAATCTAAGATGTTTACATCGTGGTATTCAGTGAAATAGATATTGACGGGAAAATTATTTATTTAAATCGTAATAGGTTCCAGGGTTGAACAGAGTTAAAAATATAAATGAGAAGCAAGGAGACAATATTTCTCTGAACCTAAGTCATAAAGAGTGTTTGAAAGATGGATCGCAAATATGCCAAGGTGCAGAAATGATTAATCCGTGAACCATTTCTCGGGTAAAGATATCGCCTATAAATCAACAGTAAGTGCATTTCTTCTGATTTCAGAACCGATTGAAGTCATAGGAGTTATCTGTAGGTAGCGTGATTCATGCACAATTTAACTTTAAGTCCGTAGCGCAATTAAGATCACTTACTGTAAAGATCGTGAAAAATATTGTTTATTTTCGAATTTAGAATGTTTTTGTTGTTATGTTTCTGTGTTTTGTCTATAGCGTTTTTCTTTTACTTTATTTCGTCACACAGCCTCGATTATATTTATATTTTGATGTACTGATTTAGAGCGTTCTCACGAGTTGATGTATGTAACGGAGAGCGAGTGATGGCCCGCCGTTCATTCATGGTTATTATCGCCCGAGGGAATGCCGTGTTCAGCGATTTGGCCGGCAAACTGTCGATCCGACGCATTGATGCCGGCGGCATTTCGCGCTTACTCAAAGCCGCGACTTGGGTTGCCGTTTTGCGATTTTCGCACTCGCTGTTCGGTCCGGTGGGTCCGCCGGGCGTCGCACTTTTCCACCGATGTCCGGGACACACGTGCGACCCTGTCACTTCCTGCGTTCTCGACCGTTTCCCCCATCGCAGCCCGTTAAGTGGATCCTAATGAGTTGGGATCATCTGTAAAAAATGTTTATTTCTAAACGGTCTTCGACCCCCGCTGGAAGCCGTCCGAGCATAAAAACCTGCACACGTATCGAGCCCATTTTCATTCACACCACCGTAGTTTCATTTATGTAAAACAAATAACGTTATTCAAATTGTTTAGTAGTTTTATGACGCAAAGTAAATTAAATTCAGACCTATCGTTAAAAAATAGGCCGTGGACTCGTCCGCACTTCATTCCGCGAATAACATACAGGGCAACGTGGAGTGATAAGATAGAACAACATTGTTCATTCTTGATATGGCTCCGCTTAGTTTCGCCCTCTAAGGCTGCCATCCTTTTCACTAAAAGACTAAATTCAATTTTCTGCTGTAATAAATTTCCAACATAACATAGCTTTTCTTTATAAACTATGATTTCTATGATCATCTTAACCTTTTAATTTAAAAAGAGGCCGCGTACTTGTCTCAACTTCATTTCGAGACAAAAATGCAGGACAACTGGTAGCTGTATGTTACAAATCTCTTTATTCTATGAATTCCATGATTTTCTTGATTTAGCCTATGATTTAGTAAACTGCCCGTGATCTTATGCCACGTTTTTGTGAAAAACGTACAGGACTACTTGGTTCGATAAAACACTGAAATATTCCATTCTTTATATGACTCCGCTTAGTTTCGCCTTGTTCTTCTGCTCTCATTTTCACTGGAAGATTGGTCTAGCACAAAATAATTTAATTTAATTTTCTCCGTCTATTGTTGCTTTAAGTTACAAACCTCTATAGAATAATTATCTTCATCTTGCCCAAGTCTAAGCGGTGGTTTTATCCCAACTTTTCCCAAAAATATATAGGACAACCTGGTTCGACAAGAACAACAATTGTCCATTCTTGATATGGCTCCGCTTAGTTTCGCCGCGTTAGACCGTTTTCACTGTAAAATCGACCAAACACTTGATAATTAAATGTTCTCTAAATTTCTCGTGAGCCAGTTTGGCGTTGTCGATAATACAAATCCCTTCATTCTATGATCATTTTGGTTCAGACTACGATTATAAAAACAGGCCGTGGTCTTATCCGTGCTTTATTTCGCGAAAAACAGGACAACTTTGTCGTGTTAATATAAAGAAACATTGACTATTCTTGATATGCCTAGTTTCATCTTGTTAGGCTTCTCTCATTTTCACTGTAAAATCCGTCTAACACCTAACAATTAATTTTTCTCGTGTAATAAATTTCATATGGGTCCGTCTTGCTTTACTTTATGCTATAAATGACCTTATTCTGTAAATTATATGATCATCTTGGTTTGTCCATTATTTAAAAAAAAATCTTAATCTTGTCCTAAATTTTCGCAAAGAATATACTGGACGATCTGATAAGAGGGAAGCAACATTGTCCATTTTCAACATGGGTCCGCTTAGTTTCGCCGTAATAGACTGCCTTCTTTTTCAACATAGAATTCAATTTTTTCCTGTAATAAATTTCTTACTGGTCCGTCTAGTGTTGCTATACTTTGTAAATCCATTTTTTTATCATATAATCTATGGTTTAAAAATAGGCCATGAATTTCCCTAAGAGGTTCCCTAAGAAAGAGAAACATTGTCCATTCTTGATATAACTCCGCTTAGTTTCGTCGTGTTAAGATGTCCTCTTTTTCACTATATCGGATTAATACTTGGTTCAAACATATGAATGAAAGATAGATCTTGTCTTTTCCACCTTTCTTTAATTACGTTTATTACTATCAACCTGGGATAAGATACACCAATATTGAAGATTCGCAGTGTTGCTTCCCATGGTATCGCTTCCTCGCTATCGGGTGCCTGATTTATTTATAATTCAAATTCGAAACTAACAGGCACTTACTACATCGGCTTACGAACAGAATCCAGGAATTCCTACTTATGTCGATATTAAATCATAGTGGCTTAATCGCCTTAAAACTTATTCATACAGGAAAAGCGATCGAGACAAAGTCAGCCCTTTTACAGTCTGACTCACTCGGCGATATTTTTCTAAATTTTAATAGAATTTGGATAAGATACGACCGAAATCCTCCATTAGCCCCTGTCGAACAGGGAAGCGGTTTTTAAATTGTGGAAGCGATAATTCTCCCTTTGCGCAAGTTCAGGGCCTTAGTCAGCCATCGGGAAGAACGTACGTCGGCGATAAGCGGGATCTTTTAGTCGTCTTTTCGAGATCGATTGGTGAGGAAGTCCTTCCGACTCGACAAACGGACCTCATGGATTCGAACTACCCGGATCAAAGGTATGATTATATTTCGATTTGTGGCTGATATGTGTTCATCGGTTAAAAGATATGAGGATCCGTTTTTTTTTATATATAGCCAAACCATTTAAAAAATACTCTTATGATGCGGTGGTTTGCGATCCGGAAGAACTGTCATCTACCTTCTACACAAGCGTCTAATTAAAGAACTTCGACAAAAATCTTTGAACCGTCTGCTCTCGCTTGACTTTTTCCTAGCCCAATGCGTTTAACACAGTAGAAAACGAGATAGACAAGCAGTACTCGTCAGTCATTTTTATTTTGAATCTTTATGAATAATTCAACGATATCTAAGATTCGAACTTACAGTGGATATACATAGTCTGAACAATTTCTTTAATAAACCTTGAAACGTTTCTTACCCTTTGTCACAACCGAAGTGAAACGATGTAAGTCCCAAAAAATTTCAAATTTAATTTTTGAAACGTTCAGGTGTTTTATGAATTATGCTTTATTAAACGGTACATGGAAGTCCTCTAAGTAGTTTAAAGAAAAAGGTGCTCGTTGAAGTCTGAACATTTCTAAGGGCTGATCTGGTGAACGACGTAAGTGCCAATGCGAGG